GCTTTGGTTCTAGTGTTCTACTCCTACCCCTTAGTTTCTACATTCTGTTACAGAAGGACTGTTATCTAAACAAATTTATGAGTTATAGTGACCTGATATCCGTCTTTGGGTGTCATATTTGCTTTAGTCCTTGTCTGTGGCTTATTACTTAGCTATCCCATTCTGTATAATGTATAAGTTTTTGAGTTTTTAGTTTTATTGGTCAACTGTTTGAAGTATGTTTTCACTTATTTTACTGTAAATATTCTCAGGTATGCCATCACAAAGGCTTTTATTGTTGCATTTCTCATGACCTTCTTCTCTGTATTGGATGTACCTGTTTTCTGGCCAATATTGCTGTGCTACTGGATATTTTTATTCTTCCTTACAATGAAACGTCAAATCTTACACATGATCAAATACAAGTATGTTCCCTTGGATCTTGGCAAGAAGGTGGGTGTCTTCTGACTTAATGAGTTGTTCACCTGCAGTTTTCGAATTGTTCTGTTTTGATCCTGAAAGGGAGATAACTCACATATGGAATGACATATTCTCTGTGTTCTTTGACAGAGGTACACTGGTAAGAAGTCGGGGAGTCAAAATGGTCCTCCTAGAGACTGAAAGCTGCTGACAGACAACTACAAAGGTGAATTCTCTAACTTTGAAAAGAGGATTTGTGAATATTACATTTAGAACCAAGTGTTGTAGTTCTAGTAAAGGGAGTTGACAGGAGTCTGTCCTGAAAAATGTTTCCTGATTCTGCATGTAGACTACTTGAAGAATATATTTTGATACGCTATAATGTGTTTTTCTCTTTCTGAAAGTTCAATTCTCAATTATGTGAACATGATAGCACCTTCTCTGATGTGCTGTAAATTACATGTACTGATGATTACTACCAAAACTTTTCCTGTATATTCCCATGAACTTGGCAATGAATTCTGCACAAAAGTTGCATCATTTTAAATTAAGTTGTCTGAAAACGAATTTCTTCTTAAACTAATTGATGTGCAAGCAACATAAAAATACAAGTTTGGTTGCTCCAATACCTTCTAATTTCAACAAAGCACTCGTTCCTGCCGGGAGCCTCTTTTCCTGGTAATTTCAACCTTTGAGTCATTTTCAGCTTTATATAACCAGGGAAGAATAGAACTTCTTGTCAAAGAAACTTACATAATAAGCATGCCAATAATAGATTTCCCTTTTCAATCCGGCCTCCACTCCCTTCAGAAACTGTTCCACCAGCTTCTGGATGTTCCAAAAACAAACAACATCAGAAAGATGTTAAAGTCTGTAAATGAATTCATTCTCTGAGGTATCGCATCATCTGGAGAATGAGTTTGGGATGAACAAACCCCACAATAAGCTTTTGGAACTTTCCTCGTACTGAAAATAATCTGATTGAGTCATAAATTATGCAGAATGTTACAACCTGTGTTTAGCAAAGTATACATGGTCGAGGATTTCTTCAGCAGAAAATGTTTGGAGTCATAGATTACCTCTCATGGGATGGATCAGCTAAGATTTCCACAGCAAGTTCTACCAAGACCTCTTCCCATCCAAGTGGAATTGGTTGGTTATCAACAGAAGGATAGCCGCATTAGCACAGCATCACATTTGGGGAAAATATGAAACTAATGGTGGCTATAAGTTATAAACTCTCCGTGTTCCTACCTGTAAGCTTTGCAAGCTTCAAGAGCCATGATTGCTTTTCTCAATGCCTGCTTTGACTTGGCTGCAATCTTAGACGCAAAGGTCATGGATAGATCAAGGTCCTCTTTTCCTGCAATCTGGACCAGAACCCCCACGACCTGGGAAATTTGCATACAAGTGATCACTTTAATAAATAAAACATGTCATGAACAATTAGTCAGTCCAAACAAATCTCATTTCGACATACAGTTTCTTGTTCAAACCTGGTACAGATACTTAATTCATGAGTTACAGGAGGATCAACTTTGATGACTTTGCAGCGGTTCTTTACTGGGTCTAGGATGTCCACATCATCTTCACAACAGATTACAAGCTTACAAGCATCTGTATAACAGTCCATAATCCATTTTATCAAATGCTGAATGTTCTCCCCCGCCCTATCAACTTCATAAAGAACCAATACTAGAACGGGCATTAAATTTTGATTAGATGTCACTGGATAGCTTAAACTGTTGAAATTTGGAAAAAATGTTTGATTATATTCATCAAAGAAAAACATACAACCTTTACAGTCTCCCTTGAAACTAACGGTGCTTATTTCTGGGGTGATGATTTTGTAACCGCTGCTTCTTTCCTTGACTAATCCCATCAATGCATGCTTAGCATTTGGCTCCAAGTTTACATTTAGCTCTATATGGTGAGCATTGGCTGTCAATGGAACAACTACTTCTACTGGCCCTTTTTCCTGTAAAGATCCAAATATCAAACATGCTTGCTTATTCAAGAATCTTGAATGTTAATCCATTTCCAAAGATACACTTCTAATTTTTAAATGTTTTGTATTTGCATACCTGAACACGGAAATGTCTTAGCTCATGAGTAACCTAAGGAAAAGAAAAAGAAAATCACAGCAGGTTAAGCATCTAACAAAAGAAAAGATGGGGAAATGAAGTATATCCAGAAAGAAACATACATTCCAAGCTAGATCGCCATATATTTCCCGCAGAAAAGCAATGGCCAGGGCTCTTCTTCCGGAGCCTTTTGGCCCTGTGAACAAAATATGGGGAATGCTCTCATTTGAAACCTAACAACACAACATGCAATAATTCAGAAACCACATGAAACAGAATGTTTGTATGCAAAAATCTTCCTCAAGAACGAATTAACTTGTTGCATGAGAAGCTGAGCTTCCTGTTTGTGACAGACGAATCAATTCAAGGAGGCAGGTTGATGTTTATCAGCCCAGAATGGTCTTGGTTTTTCAACCACAAGAGCCTTCTCAATGAAAGCTGCTTCATCAAATGCCCGTTTTTCAGGCGATTTTGAGCTTCGGCAAGATCCCCTTCTCATACAAGCAAACAAGTCCTCCTTCTGGCTCTTGCGTCTGTTGGCGGTGAACTTGGTCAGGCTTATGCTAGACCTCCCGCTTGTTTCACTGATCTTACTACTTCCGTTGCTGAATTTGCTGCTGCTTTCCCCATTGATAGCGGAGAGGGAGTTCATGGTTATCCGTGACAAACCAGATGAGGACCCTCTTCCTTTCTGATCACTACGCCCATTTGCTCTTACTTCATGGGAAGCAGAAGAATCTCTCTGGTGAAAAGCCGGTGGCTTTGGGAGGGTTTCTAAGCCGCCATTTGTTGGCACCGGCATGGCGTTCTTCTTCAATGCCATGGCTGTTTCGTGATCGCGAAAAAAGAAGATGTCTTCCGGGGAAATTGACTGTGTGCTGTCGAACATCCCTGTGTTCTGTATTGGGCCTCTAACCTTCGCATGGGCGATTATTTCGTTGATTTCTCCAATTGATGGGGTTTTCACCTGAGCAGCCTCTCTTTGCTTGCGCAAGTTGTTCCTCGAGAACGGTGAGACAGCCCTTTCCCTCTTTGCTCCGCTTGATTAGCTCTGAGTCTAAGTGCCGTCGCCGATCGTCGATTGTTAATCGGTTTCTCTCTAATCGGCCTTTTGATTCCCTTTCTATTTGAGCCGACGGTCTCTTCATTGTCCAAATGATCGTCAATATCCTACCTCCGATGTTCGAATTTTGACAAAGGACTGACATTTCTGGGAAAATCAAAATTGGTTTCTGCAACGAATAGTCTCCGTTATCGGTTGTCGGCCGGTAAGGTGACTTGCTGCTGTGTCTACTCCAGTGCGGACTAGCTTTAGGAGACGACGGTTCATCGTACTCAATTTTCGTAGGCTGTCTTCAATTTAGCTTCAAAGGACTGAACTTTTTCGGAAAATCCGAATCAACCTCCTCCGCCTCATCAAGAGCGAATGCTCCAGCGTCCTTCCCGATTGTGATGCCGCTGCCGTTCATGCCACTCAGTCTCTGTATCCGACGGCTCATAACCGCTCCGCCGTTGCTTACCCAACGGAGTAGGCTGAGAAGCTCTGCTAACATACCGCAAAGGACTCTCCATTTCTCAAAATTCTTTCCGATCCCTTCGGTCGGAGAATCCTCAACAGAATAATGGAACCCAAGAAGCATACATTGAAGATAGTTATAATTTAAGAATTCGATGGTTAGGAAGGATGTGCATCGATGAAGGCAATGCATTGGCGTCGGGGAGCTGTTTAGGTTTTGCCCAGGTAAGTTACAACTACCATATTCCTTGTTTCCTGCAACTTCTAAGCTCTCCAATCCCCATGAAGCATGCCTGTTGTCTTCATTTTCTGTGTCACCATCTCAGCACCTTGCCAGGCAGCTTCTGGACAACAGAGGAATCTTGAATATCTTGCATGGATGGCTCTGTTCTGTCCGCTGTAACATTATAGTTACAGAACGTATGATATCTAGGCAAATATTACTATTATGGCAAGGCATATTCCAACTTCAAAGAAAATCACTGGACTTTGCTTACTTTGTGGCATGCAAGATGGAGTTGTTGCATCAACATGAACATGAATGCAAACATGAAATCAATCTTCAGTGGTTATAGCATTCTTGGAACAGGAAAATTATGGAATCGTAAACCATGTTCCCGTATATTGAAAATCAGTACACAAAACTGATCAGGTGCAGGGATACCACCGAAAGAATGCTAGCTACAGAAGAGTAGAATGTGACACATCTACTAATGGATGTACATGTATATTAGAAGTAAGACCCTTAATTAGGAGTGAATGGCGATGCCATTGAGTTGGTCACCTTCACAGCATTTGGGGAGGAGGCCTTTGGCGTTAGGGTTGATAACCAGTCTACTAAACCCTTGTTGACAAGCTCTGGAACTTCATCATGTGGACAGTGTCCAGCCTGCAAGTTTACTAAAGTTGTGTTTGGATAAAACTCCTTGATTCTGTTAGCTTTGGTAGGGCCAACCCAAGGGTCTAAGTCACCCCAAAGCAACAACAATGGGCAAGATAGCTTGCTCAAGAAGTAGTCTAGGGTGTACTGGGTTTGGTTCAACATGAATCGTGTCATTAACCTGAGACAAATTGAATGATATAGAAACTTTTGTAAGCATACACTTTGGCAGGAAAGGAACTTGTCACCTAAATAGTGTTAATGGCAGATTCTAAGGGTACAATTTTTACTGCCTTGGAAATCAATCTGCTGTAAGTAGCAGATACATACAACTCATTTTTAATGCAAAAGAAAAACAACAGCTCTACATAAGTATTTTAAGAGAAAGCAAGAATTTTCTTATTTTAATAGAAACCAAGGAACAGATTTTGGCATGCATACCTATAGTACACTTCTCCAGCATTGGGATCGGCTGCTGGCCTTGTTATTGATTCCACAAGATAATCGTCCACGTTGGTGGTATTGATATACACCTGTATTAGTGTGTGCATGAAGGCATAAAATTGATTAGCCAAAATATGGTGAACAAAACTAACTTGAGGGAGCTCAAGAGTGAAGAGGAACTTTCTAATATGTGGGAGATGGGGAAAATCCATTCACAGTCTTATAGTACATTCTACTATCCATGTTAACAGCATGGTTAAACTGATCAGAAGAGAGAATATTAAATATCAAAAAGTTAAACCGAATATAGATTCTTTAAACCATCAATTGAATTGCACATGCTAGAAATTTTAGAAGTTAAACTCTACTGGCTTCCATGAAAGAGTGATTGATCCTATATTTCAAATACTAAAAGATACATGGTAAGAATTTTGTCCATCTACTGGAGAAAGAATGGCAGCGTGCGGGTAGGGAGGTGTTTGATAACTGAGAATTTCTGTACTCTGTACTATATTGTCTATGACTCCATTCTGAAAAAAAATCTGTACTCTATTGATATATATTCCAAATCTCCTGTGGTTTCAAATGAACTTTGAAAGGACAAGCCCTAGTTTAGTTAGATGGCTTGTAACTTACTCTCTTTAAGACAGAAACAATACGAGCAGGTTGCTTTGCCTGCCAAAACAAAAACCCAAGAACTATGCGTTGGAAAATTTCCTTCAATGGCTTTAAAATAAACTTTTCTAAGCTTGTTTCCTCAGATTTTTTGGTTCCTGCATTTGCATCTCCAAATTGTCCTGCAGAATTGAGGAGTGCAACTCCAACAACTTGTTCAGGCAACCCTACTGCTGCAACCAAAGCAGTGAACCCTCCAAGGCTGAAAATTTACCATGATTAACAGAAACATTACTTGATATGCTGTCTCAAGAAAGAAAAAGATAAAACAATACGGTAATCACACTCAAGATGGTAAGAACTAATCACCACCATTTTATAGGATGCAGGGATACCTGCAACTACCATGAATTCATGCTCATATGTCTATGTGCAAGAGCAAGTTCTTATTGAGGGAAACTGAGAAATCATCAGCTTTACTTCTTAAATGTCAGGCAAAGGCATGGTGACATCCAAAAGGGGACATTGTCAGTAGTCACAGGACTTACAATATTTGTTTTGTCAAAGGGCTGATCACATATGAAAAAAGTAAAGTAAATTATCTGCTTGTCATCAATACCTGTTTCCAACCAAAACTGATGGCTCTTTCACTATCTCCTTCAAGAAATCAACCACTTGATCCCTCCATATCATTGTGTCATACTCAACAATTGCCTTGTCACTCCATCCAAATCCCAGCAAGTCTATGGCATAGACCTTGTATCTTTTAGCCAATTCAGGAATGTTGTATCTGCAAGTAGGAAATAGAAAGAACATTTAGGCAAAAGTGAATTAGCATCTCAGATAGTAGCACTACAAGTAGCCTTAACTACCTAGTCAATATTAACCATGATATCAGAGGGTAGTTAGTACAACTTCCAGCTAGTTTTTCTTCAATAAAAACAAGAAAACTACTAAAAAATTGCAGAAACCCTTAATTCTTCAAAATTTTCTGCAATCATATAACCATCCACGCCACATTTAATGAAAAAATAGATTAAGTAATAAGGACAACTAATTTGGTAAGGACAACTAATTTGGTAGGTACAGGACTCCAGCATTAATTTTAGATGGTGGGGAACGGGTATAGAGGAAGACAAGTAACTGAATACTAAAAACATGCACATGACAGATGAGTATAAACTTAAATGAAGTTGGGCAAAAGATGGCAGACCTCCAATGAAATGCAGAAGCACCAAACCCATGGATAAGGACAACTGGAAATCCTTCTCCTTGAACAACATAATGTATTTTATGACCCCGCCATGTCCAGAAATTGTAACCCTCTGGCTTGAATGGTAATCTCTCCACCCCTACATCACTTCAAAGCTCACACAACTAATCTTACATATGAAATAATGAATTGTAATTTGCAGCTGACATCTATTGTTACCAAAATTACATTATAGAAACAACAAAAGAAAAAAACAAATGCGATATATTAACAAGAATCAATTAGTCAGAAGTTAAAAAATTGACCTTGAACAGGGTCAGCAGTCAAGGAAGAGCTTGCAACGGAGACACCAGAAGCCACAATCCCCTTCAAAGCAAAACCCCTCCTGTTTATCTCACATTTGCTCCCTTCAAGTAGAACATGGACATAGAGAATCGGGAAAAAGATTCATAAACCAACATGAAACCACACTCTCTAAAAACAAAACTTAAAATTGCTTACTGGGTTGTTGACATATCCTTGAAGGAGCAATAACCCTGTTAGAAATCCGGGTAAGGAGTTCTGTTCTCACCGAAGGCGGCGATACTCCACATGAAAGAGGCATATCTAATCCTTCTGAACCCGTAATAACCAGACCCTTTACTACAGAATCCAGAAGCTCGAGAATGTGACGAAATTTGTGAGCATTGGTTTTAACGGCTAAGACACCGAGCCCGCGAATTTTGTGGCTGACGTGCTTTTGGAGTTGTGGCAAAGCCCAGGCCGGAGATGGGATAGGGCCTCCATTTTGTTCGGTGGGATATATACATATATATATATTTTATGTTAATTATTTTCCCGGGATATTCCGAACCTTCGTAAAATTACTAAAATCTCGTGGCCATTTTAGGATATATTTGGTTAAGAGTAGAGGTGGGACTAAAAGAGTAAATAAAAATTGTTAATTTTTTTAATTTTTATTTAAAAATGTTTATTTTATTTTTTTAAATATTAATTTTTATTTTTTTATTTAAAAATATAAATTTTTTAATTTTTAAATAAAAATATTAAAAATTAATATCATTAAATAAAAAAATAAAAAATGACATATTCAAATAAAAAAAATAATTAAAAGTTAATAGTTTTATTTAGAAATTAATGAAAGTAATATCCTTAAATAAAAAAGATAAAATTAACATACTTATTTATGCATTTTCTTAAGAGGTCAGAGTTTTTTTTTTTTTCTAAATAATTAGAGAGAATCTATTTTGTTTAATTTTTGTATAATCTTAAATATTATTTAATAATTTTTTTGTTACTTTATTATAACTATGATATTATATGTATTTTATTTAATAATATATAAAAATTATATAGAAAATTGTAAGAAAAAGTTGTTTATATATCATTATTTTTTTTATTAGTTACTAAAAGATTTAGAGAGAAGGAACCGGATTTTAGATCCAGTGATTTATACATAAATCTTAGTATTTGAATTTAATTATTAAGAAATTTGACTCCCATCAATAATTTAAAAAAAAATCCCTCAGTCCCAAATTCCCCCATGTTCAAAAAAAAAAAAAAAGATTTAGAGAGAAGGGATGAGAAATCCTTTATTTTGTACATTTAATTCTTCAAATTCATTTGACCTATCGAAGTAAAGAAAGAAAAATAGAAGAGCACAACATTTTTATTTTTTTATCCCCTCTCTTTCAATTTTCTCCATTTTTTTCAAATCAAACATGTAGATTGAGATTAAGGACTCACAAATGTAGATCTAATTGTTTAGAGATTGTACTAACCTTTAAATTTTACTTACAGATATTAAAAAAAAAAAGAAAGAAAAAGATAAAACCCAACCATATGATAGATCAAATCCCTAACTCGCTTTTATTGAAAGTTGTTGGTAGTGTTTGGTTTAACAATTTTATGATAGTCAATATCTAATTATTTATAGTATTTAAATCACTTAAATTGTAAAAATAACTAAAATAATAGATAAAGCTCTAGCTATTTTATTTTTATTTTGAAGATTCAATTTAATTTAATGGTAAGAATTAGAGTAGCCCATAAAATTAGCCATACACCTAAATAAAATACATTTTAATCATTATAAATAAATATCATGAACGTTTTAGTCCTTCATTGACTTTCGTGGAGTTTTGATAATTGAAGTAAAATTGTCACTAACATAAAAGCTTTTCACACTCTCATGGCAAGAATCTAAATTTCTGTTTTCTCTCCTCATTTCTCTTCTTTCATAATCTTAAATCACTTATTTTAATATATATATATATATATATAAATAACCACTAAGACTTTGTTTTGTTTAGTTAATTTTATTAATTTATAACATTTTTTTCTTAAATATCTGATTAGGGAATTTAAAAATATATTTTTTAAGCTGTTTCTAAAATATTGAGTGATAAATATAAGTTATTCTACCATTTAATAGTTACAAGCCTACGACTATTAATCAACCAAACATGGCGGAGAACAAGGCCTTGTGGCCCATGGTTGGGCCAAACTTTTAAGTATTTGGTTAAAATGATCAGAGTTTTGAATTTCATTATTGTCATGAATTTGATCAAAAAATAACTTAATAGTGTACCTTATTTAAAGAATGAAATATTCACATAGTCTAAAAATCAATTACTAATAATTATCTGACACTAACTTCTTCGTTATTACCTTGTAAAAAATAAAAAATAAAAAACCCAAACATGGCGGAAATTTGTTTGAAGATTTTGTTTGACCATGTGGTGAGCACTGGCCATATGGCCCACAAAAGTACTTTATAATCCAAACTTAGAAGCTAATGGTCCTAAATCTTAAAACTTTCAGTTCTAAAAGGCAGAATTATGGCTTGTGAATTGTGATTATCCCACCGGAAAATGTTTGATGTCTCCAATGCGCGCAAACCATTTTAAGGATCTCTCCACCCTCCGCTTTTTCAATCTTCAGCTCTCCGATTCCGCCATGGAAGCTTCTGCTAAGCTCCTTAAACCCTCCTATCTCGTCGGCCCCAGGATTGCATCACCGTCGCTGACATTCACGACGGCGACCCATTCTGTCACATTCTCTCGCAGTCAACGCAAGGGTGTCGTTTTTAGACCCAGGTCTTCCCTCTTTCGCTTCCGCTCTTCTTTATCGCCGATTTCTCCCAGTCCCAAACCTTTTGGATCTCTTTCAGTCTCCTCTTCCGTACCCTTTAACTCCCAAGTTTATTTCAACTCGTTCCTTCGGTCCAACCCCAACGAGGCCGGCTTTGTTTGGAACCGAGCGCCGGAGAGCGTCGTCGATGAAGGGAGCCGGGTGGACCTCGTCGGGGACAAGGGACCTGTGGTTACCGTGGTTCTATTGGGGTGGCTCGGGTCCAAAAGGAAGTACCTCAAAAGGTACGTGGAGTGGTACAATTCCCGAGGCATCCACGCCGTTACTTTCGTCGTCCAAGTGACGGATATGCTGTCGTTCGATTTGGGAACCAGGCTGGAGCAGCGGATCTCTGCATTTGGATCGGAGTTGGGCTCGTGGGTATTGGAGAAGGAGGAGGATGGTAGAGAACGGTGCTTGGTCTTCCACCCTTTTAGTAACGCTGGCTGGCTAACGTATGTTCCATGGCTGAAAATACTATTTCCCCTATCGCTTGTGTCATAGAAAAAATTGAACCTTTCTTTTTTGTTTGTGTTGTTTAGCTTTAGTGAGTTGGGTTCTTCTCGTTTGCAGGTGTGGCGCAATTCTTGATAGTTTTCAGGGAAGAGATGACATAAAGGAGAAGATAAGAGGGATTATTATTGATTCGGGAGGAGGGGGCGTTTTGAATCCTAAGGTATTCGAAATTTATCATACAAATGTTGCTGATTGTTATGCAGTACATAGAAACATTAGTTAAAATTTATCAGAAAAAAGTTTGCTGATTAATGATTATTATGCAGTGCAGAATTATTTAAAAGGGAAAAAAACCTTTATATATATATATATATATATATATATATGCTACATAGAAATCATATTCCTGGTGCAATAGGCAAAGTTAGGATTTTTATCTACGCTTTGGTAGACATCAAGTACAGGCAAGAGGAAGAAAATGCATAGAGAAGAATGTGTCTGCAAGTGTATGATAGCTGAGAGCAGTCATTTGTTTATGAAAAGCAGTCATTTGTTTATTTCATAACTGTCCTACTTCTCCCCAAGTTCTGACTGTGGAGACAAGTGAGGAAACTGGCCTGAAAGCAAGTTCAACTTTCTGAACTCTTCTCATTTTTGTTGGCTGAACTTTCCTTTATGGTCCTTTTGAACTTTTCTAATGTATGGCTGTAGCAGTTTTGAGAACTTATATAAGCTGTTTGCTGCTGGTCCAAGTATTTGAACTCAGTAAAAGAAAATTATTTGAATATACCCAAGCTGTCGGGTAGGATCATGGTAAACTTACCTGATCCAAATTAATAAGGAGGATGAGTCCAGGTCCTACCCCGAAAGATTTGGATATTTCAATCACTTGGCAGTCCTATTCTGTGGTTTTATTCAATGTTTTTGAATGTGTTATGTAGCTTATGTGTTGTTAAGTTTATTGTGAAACCTCTATATTTTGAGGTTCAGATCATATGTTATTCATGCATTACCCATAGAGAGGAACATCACTTGAATTTGAGCAGGGAACTTTACATAAAAAGTATGCGTACTGTTGTCTAAAATGGTCTGGATTCATTTGCCTTTGTTTTGGATATTGTGATTTTGTTTAATAGATTTCTGTATGCTTTCACTGTAATTTCTTTCTTGTCCCTCTTCCAAATGGATTGAATGTGAAACGTAGAGCTAAACTCTGCAGGTAAATTCTCTTCATCCTTGCAGGTTTGGGCAGCTGGATTTGCTATTGCTATTTTAAAGAAACGCAACTCTTCGATAAATGGAATAGAAAGTGAAGCTACTGCATTAAAATTGCAAGAAAATGAACCGTCAAAGTTTGAAGCCATGCTGCTAGCTGCATTGGAGAAGCTCTGGTCATGCTTTATGCCTGAAATTGAGAGGTAAATTTTTCTGTCTGTTTCTTGACAATTCATTTTAAAAGAACAGAATTGTGATTTGATTTGGTAGATGACAACATAATCCACAGTTTTAGAATATGATTAAAATCCATAATTAGTAGTCAAAAGAAATTTGATGGTAGCTGTTATTCACTTGCTTTTTACTACAGGAGGGTAAGAAAATATGTTGATGCTTTCTTAGAGCACCCGCCTCCTTGTCCCCAACTTTACCTTTATAGCACAGCCGATAAGGTCGTTCCATCTGAGACAATTGAGCTGTGTATGGAGAAGCAGAGAATGAATGGGATAAAGGTGTTTTCATATGACTTTGGCACATCTCCCCATGTGGATCACTACCGGACTTTTCCCGACATTTATTCATCACAGCTCCATAATTTTTTGAAAGAGTGCTTTGCCATTGTTAAGCAGAAGTAATCCCTGCAAATGCAGGTAATTTGTGTGCAGATCAATTGAATGCTTTACTTGCTACTTGCTAGTGCAGCTCAATTGAATGCTTTGATTGCTACTTGCTAGTGCAGCTCAATTGAATGCTTTGATTTCTACTTGCTAGTGCAGAGGCATTGCTAATAAGCCCCCTAGGGCAATGCACTAGGGTTGGTGCCTTTTTAGTTAAAATGCTGATTTATGTTGTAAAGTTCATATATGATGATATCATATTTGAATTTCTTCTTCTCTATAAGCTTTGAACTCTGCAGTCCATATGTTAGGTAATTTACGAGAAGTTAGCTCCTTATAATTTCTTCTATAGATTGAATCTTGATAAATGAGGTGAGGAGCAAACTCAATCTCAATCAAGTCAAGTTCATGGAGTACGGTTGAACTGGTATATAGACAGCTATTTTCTACCAAGAATTCAAGTGGATGTGTCCTTTAATCTCCCATATGCTGTGCTGATAATAACTTTGAAACTGATTCCTAGCAGATCTGATTATGTTATGTGTTGAACTGCAACGATATTGACTATAAAACTATTTCAGGGCTTCCCTATACCCCATGCCATTGAAATTCTTTAGCCTAACCAACTAACTTAGCAGGTCAGGCATTTAGGTTTGTTTCTCTGGGTCAGCAGGGGCCAGCTAGAAATCCGTACTAATCTGGGGTCCAAGCCAGCCATAGAATGATAAATAGGTTGATACGCCACAAGACTGGTAGTGACGGAAAAATGAGAACATTCAGAAAAGCCTCAAACTTTTTCACAGATTACAATTGAGCCCTATAGCTTCTCAATGGTAAATCAACTCATCTTGTCAGCAAAAATCTATCCAAATTGGATGAGGAGCTAAGGAAATTCACTTCCAAATCGGATGGAGAAGTTCACTTCCCATGCCACATGACAGTTTGTTTGTGGTTTACTTTATGTAAGTGTGAATCTTTGTCTTTTTTTATGTAACAATCTTTGTTTGAAAAAATAAAAAAAAAAACTCATAAAGAAGATTCTTCTCACATAAAGACTGACATTATAAAGTCCTAAGTAAAGCTCTATTCCAGCTTAAGGGAAAATGGCAAACTAATTTTCATCCTAGCATCATAACCTTTTCCATTCAATGTAGATAAATCCTTACAAATAATGAAGTTGAGAAATTGATTTGCCACCAAAAATAACATAAGGGACTCAATTACCAATGGGGAAGAAATTTTAAGGATTGAAAGTTTTAATGATTTTTTTTTTGTAAAAGTAACATTATGAAAAGTGAATCTAAACATAAATTATTGGTATTTCTTTATAGTTTTTATTTTATTTTCTTTGAGCAGTGCTCCTAATTTCTTTTTTTCTGTATAATCTCTCGTGCCAATTCCCATGTATTTTGAAATTAACTTCCCTCAGATAATTTTAAGTCAACTTAAAATTAATTTATTCAAGTATTATCCTAAAATTTAAAAGAGTGTTTGTTTTAATTTTTT